AAGAACTCATTATTTTATTTTGAAAGTCAGACAGTATTTCTTGATAGTTACCGTGACAATCTGGTGATTTTCGTTTTCTTTGCACGATATTAGTAGGAACATCATCGTATATTTTGGATAAACCTGGCTGTGATGAGGAACATACACTTGGTGGCGTTCTTGGAACACTCATTTTTTCCCCAGTAAATTGTGAAAGAAGGTAAAAATATAACGACGTGACAGAAAAATGATGCACAGACGATATTTATATTATTATTCACTATCCCTTTTACACAGGTTGAGATATTGCACTTGAAACAACAGCGAGAACAATGTTCACTACGATTGGTGCTTGACGTATGCCACTCTCAAACACATTAATTATAATGACTTTGAGGCAATTACAGCGGAATTGTACATAACATAAAGCGCAAAATGCTTTGTAGTTATTTATAGGAAAAATAGCGAAACTTAACAGGCGTCCGACTGTGAGTGTGTGTGTGTGACAGAAGTGACTGAAGAGCGCACTTATAGACTGTTACTACTTGTACTTGTTACTTGTACTTGTTGTGTTAATGTCATTAATTTGTTTTTTATATGTTTTAACCATGCTTAGCACATGTAAGTATATTAAATATAAACGTTTATTAAGAAACTGACTGACTCCCGTGGCCTTGAGATAAATAGCTCAGTTGGTTAGAGCATCGGCACGGATTGCTTATCGTGGTTTCAAACCCCACCCGGTGTCAGTTGATTTTTCGAATTTCGCATTAAATGTTTAGACATTTATTAATTTGGTTGGTCTTTCTATGGCTATGTTAATTCAAGCTCAAAATGTACCTGCTGTGTCAAGTTGTTCTAAGATCTAAAGTAACTTTTAATAAATAGCAATAGGTTAATAGGTAATTGCGAGACTTGCGAGACTCTTGCTGCAAGACCAAGACCAAGACCAAGACTAGGAGCACTATACCAGACCAAAACCAAGACCAGGTGTATTGGCGCAAGACCAAGACTGGCTAAGTCTCGTATTGTTCTTGTATTTGGGCAACACAACTAGTCCCCGCTGCTCATACTTCACAACAGACGGTCTCCAAGTTACAAGAGCTGGGGTTGGAAGCTCTCCGTCATCAGCCGTACCCACCAGATCTTGCGCTTACAGACTTTTAATTTTTTCTGAATTTGGATAACTTTTTGGCAGGAAAAATTCAATACTCGAGAGACAGTATAAAATGCCTTGGAAGACTTTGTAGCCTCCATCTCGCTGATTTCTTCAAGATGGTTATCAATAAACTGCCACTGCGTTGGCAAAGATGTATCGATTGCATAGGTAATTTGATTAATAAAAAATATAGGAAAAATATTACGTTAACTTATTTCATAAAAAAACGGCAATTTCATAGGTAAAGTGTTTGGTACTTTGCTTATAAAGGAAACACTGGAGACTTTTGATTTGGTATATTTTTTCTCACGCCCTTGTGACAACCTATTTTAATGGCCGCTTTTACGACTGTGGTTGCTAAAAGAAGCAGCATAGATGTAGCGCCATCTATGTTTCTCTGTGTGAACTGTTTTTTCCAGTTAGGTCCCCCCCCCCCACCCAAGCCTGCAAAATAAAGATATTTGTAATAAAAAAAAATACTAGTCGACGTATTTTTAATAGCACATTACGATTATACTTGTATTTGTAATTGCACACTCTCCAATTTTTTATAAAAAATCAAAAAGTAAATTATGGTTTTTAATAGTACTGCAATGTCGATATCTCCGTAAATAAAGTTTTTTTTCTAATTGCACAGAGTGCCAATAAATTGCACATATCTCGATTGTAATTGCACAATAACGTATTGTTATTGCACATACTTATTTAGTCAGAGAGTCATTATGAATCGTCTCGCGCGCAGACTTGACGACTTCCAGCCTCCCGAACAAGCCGGTTTCCGAAAGGACTTTAGCACCATAGACCACATACATACCCTTCGGCAAATTGTACAGAAGTCCGAAGAGTACAATTTGCCACTATGTCTGGCGTATGTGGACTATGAGAAAGCCTTTGATTCCGTCGAAATTTGGGCGGTGCTGCAGTCCCTTCAGCGGTGCCAAGTTGACTGTCGGTATATCGAAGTGTTGAAGTGCTTGTACAGTAGGGCTACGATGGCTATCCGAGTACAGAACCAGAGTACGAAACCTATCCAATTGCAGAGAGGTGTAAGACAGGGTGACGTCATATCCCCGAAACTCTTCACCGCTGCATTGGAAGACGTTTTCAAGCTTCTGGACTGGAAAGGATACGGTATCAACATCAATGGCGAGTACATCACTCACCCTCGATTTGCCGACGATATAGTCCTTATGGCAGAATCGCTGGAGGACCTAAGCACTATGCTCAATGACCTCGATAGTGTTTCCCAACGGATAGGTCTTAAGATGAACATGGACAAAACAAAGATCATGTTCAATGTCCATGTCACACCTATGCCGGTAGTTGTTGGGAGCACTAAGCTCGAAGTTGTTAACGAGTATGTTTACCTGGGACAAATAGTCCGACTAGGTAAGTCCAACTTCGACCGAGAGGTCAATCGACGGATTCAACTCGGCTGGGCAGCGTTCGGGAAGCTACGACACATCTTCTCGTCAGACATACCTCAAAACCTGAAAACGAAATTGTACAACCAGTGCGTGTTGCCAGTGATGACTTATGGAACTGAGACGTGGTCCTTCACTGCTGGCCGTATGAGGAAGCTCAAGATCGCTCAGCGAGCTATGGAGAGGGCTATGCTCGGAGTTTCTCTGCGTGATAAACTTAGGAATGAGGATATCCGCAGTAGAACCAGAGTAACCGACATAGCCCAACGGATTAGTAAGCTGAAGTGGCAGTGGGCCGGCCATATAGCTCGAAGAACCGACAACCGATGGGGAAGAAAGGTTCTCGAGTGGCAGCATCGTACCGGTAGGCGAAGTGTAGGGCGTCCCCCCACGAGATGGAGTGACGACCTGGTAAGACATGCAGGAAGTCAATGGATGCAGGTGGCTCAGGACCGTGTTTTGTGGTATTCCTTGGGGGAGGCCTATGTTCAGCAGTGGACTTGTGAAGGGCTGTAATGATGATGATGATGATACTTATTTAGTTACAAAAATTAATAATTAAGTAAAACTGACGGTCGCCGCCAATATGCGCTATACGCAGCAGACGACGGGCATAGTGCATACCATCAATGAAAACAGGCCATAAGTCGTTCTGCTTTTTAACCACAATTCGTCGTCCAACCGTCAGTAGATAAAATTTTGGACCTTATCTTTACATCATTCAAATGATGACGATATATCGATATTTATCACGTGATATATATCGATTCTGTTTAGAAATATAGATTCGATATATTTCTCCCTTTACCCATCCCTAGACTGTGATTTCATCGAAATTTTTGCACACAGAATGCTGCTGTGTTTCGTATGGTGAGTGTAGAGAACCGGAGACCCTTTTCACTGGGAAAGAGGCATTCCATCTTAGTCCTCACGGGTGACAAAGCATCTGCATCTTGAGTCTTGATTGAGGATAGATGTAGATATCTATAGGTCACAGTAACCACTTACCATCAGTTGGACTGTGTGCTCGTTTGTCAACCTATCCTATAAAAAAAAAAACAAATCAAAACACACACTAAAAATAAAATAACCCTTATCGATTATGATTCATCCGTATTAGCAAAATATATGAAAAAATAACCATTAGTTTTTTATTTTTTTTTTTACGACTATATGTGATAAAAAGTAAATACTATTATTTTTCATTGAATATGTCTGCCTACTTCTAGTATTTTTAGAAATCGTAATATTTTTGACATTTTGTATATTTTCCGATAACATCCGGTTGGTAAAGACTCTGCTCTGTTATTGACTATGGATTTGACTTTTGCGGAAGTCAAATTCAAACCCTATTTTATTCTTGCTATAAATGCAATAAGGCTAGACATTCGTAGATCAACAATCGTAACGCATGGACGTGTATTGTGGAATCTATGTAAATGATACTAGATTAGTGAAATGTTCACCAAGATTGTGATAAAGTGTTTCGGTGTGTAATAATAAGTGGATACATGTGTTGTGAAGACTAACGCCACATGAGATATACAGTTGTTTAAAAATAAGCTATTAATTTTGAGTACCACCATTCCTGTGCAAATGTTCGTCGATATTAACATCATATGTTGATAATAGAATAAAAAATGTACCTAAACTCGAGCCGGTTTCGTTAATTTTGTAGAAAATGGCTAGGGAAGATCGTTTTTACAATATAAAAAAAAACTATTATATTCAACAAAAAAGTTACTACCATTTGAAGATGAAGTACCAGTGTATACGTGGTAGTTATATTTGATTTGGTTTAGTTTTGCCACAAAATATAACGAAAAACAGCATAATTTTGCCCGATTTGCAAACGCGTCCTTTAAGCCAACAAACCGTCGATAAAGATAGTGCCTACACGCGCGTGATAGTACCTACTACAAGAGTGTGTGCTAGACAACATCACTGAGTGACCGTTAAAGAATAGGTCAGTAACGTATGCTAGTGTGTATACCTAGCGCAGTCATTGTTGCATGGGTGTGCGTGTACTGCCAAATCACTGCTGAATTTGGCAACGGTAGTTTTAACAAAATTCGAGGGTGAAATAATATTTTGGGTTATAAAATTAATAACTTCTATTAAAAAGGGTTTATTAAACTACAAAAAAAAATCAAAGAAAGCAAACAAAGATTACTTACACTTCGAATCGATTTACAACCCGAAGTATTGATTACTACAATCATAACTTTTTAATGAATGTAAGAATGTAATAGAATTTTATAAATTAGTTCTCACCTACTTTCGAACATTTTAATGAGCTGAAACTTTGTTCAGATGAATTAAGAACCAATGAAAATATAATAATTTCATAACTATGGCTAAAATACTTTTGTTTAAGTTTATTTCATAACTTACATATATTTTTTTATAGATTTAAAGTTTAAACAATAATGACTTACTTGTTTAACAAACGGTGAAAATTTTAGCTTCCCCATTTTTTCCACACATATTCACGTCATACAACTCACAGTGTCGCGGCCGTTCGTAGATATACCACTATTCGTTGACTGAACATAATAATATAAGTACAGCTTGACTGTCTAGTTAATTATTTGTTCGAACCTAGCGAGTTATCGTAAGGTACTAACGAAGGACGTCACTGTGACGATATGTAGTTGCCACAGTTACATGAAAAATGTTGTAAATCTCTACCTATACTCTGTCTGTATAGATATATATAAATAAATAAAATTGAAGTGTCTGTTTGTAATGTCAAAATTACAGTTTTTTACTAAATGCATATGAAAGTATTTACGGTACTAATGACAAAAATACAATTTTTAAAGTTTTTATCTGTCTGTCTGTCTGTCCGTCTGTTTGTCTGTTTGTGCCGGCTAATCTCCGAAACGGCTGGACCGATTTTGACAGGATTTTCACTGGCAGATAGCTGATATCACGAGGAGTAAGTAGGTTACTTTTAGTTTAGAAAAAGAATTAAGGTTCCGCGCAACAAAAAAAAACCTTAAATTACACGCCGGCGAAGTCGCGGCGAGCAGCTAGTTATAAATAAAATTTAAGTGTCTGTCCGTACTGAAATAACTAGCTTCTTTTAAGCTCAGGGGTATATTTGAATACTATTAAGACATAAATAACAATTTACAACATTTTATCTGTCTCTCTGTCTGTCGGCCTGTCTGTCTGTGAAAATAACTGGTCCTTGATTACCTTAAATCTAAATAACACCACATCAATAGATACCATCCATGCGAAGTCGGGGCGGATTGCTAGTAGAATATACGAATATTTTTTTGATAGGTTAAGGGTGACAAACGAGCACACAGTCCACCTGATGGTAAGTGGTTGCTGTAGCCATAGATATCTACATCTATCCTCGATTACAAATCAAAATGCAGAAGGGTCGTCACCCTCCTCCAGCCTCAAAGGCTCTCCGGTTCTCTACACTCACCATACGAAACAGCAGTGTTAAGCTGCTATTTCACGCTGGTATTCTGTGAGAGCGTGGTCCTTCCCCGGTCGAGCCGACCCATTCGTGCTACAACTATGCTACTAATATAGCTGCAGCATGGCTCTACCACGTATATACTACCACATTTAAAAGCAGCACGTTGTAGCTAATTAGATTAAGCTAGTAGTCTTCCAGTGGTCAAAATTAATTGAGACCGTAATTCGTTAATTTTTAGGTTTGTATAATATTAAGCAAGTTGTACTTATTTCACTTTAAGCGGTACAATAAAATACAACTTGTAACAAAAACCCTATGGTTTCCGTTAAGTGCGACATCAGAATCAGTATGCAAACCTATGGAAATAACTTTACTTCTCAAAACCCGAACATTAAAACAAATGACATCCGAAGGGCTCTTGTCTCCATAAATGTTCCCTCGGTTTTAGAGCCTTGTGGAATATTTAGAGACGATGGCAAGACACCCGACGGTAAGACATTGGTCCCTTGGGAGAGAGGTAAAGCTATAGTGTGGGATGCTACTGGCTTAGACACTTTGGCAGTCTCTCATCTCAGGGCTACCTCGTTGAGAGCCGTGGCGACATCAGAGGTAGCTGAACTGAGTAAGTGGCGCAAATATAAGTCTCTGAGAGATTACTACATATTTGTATCATGTGCTGTAGAGACTCGGTCCGTGGGGTCCACGTGCGGTGAAGTTCCTAAAGAACTCCATCCGCGACTAGCCGTTGCTGTTGGTGATATGCGGGCTGGCTCTTTTCTCGCTCAAAGGCTAAGTATAGTCATTCAGCGGGGAAACACAGCCAGCGTTCTTGGCACGATACCGCGGTATGTATGATTAAGATTATAAAATTAAGTTACTACTTTTAGTTTTCTTTTTTTTTATTATATTTTTTTTATATTGTATAATATAATAAAATATTATATATTGTTTCTTATAAATAAATTGAAAAAAAAAATGTATTTGCACTTTGTATGTGATTTTATAACCCCTTTTGACAATACTACATGAGTAAAGAAACCGTACCCTATACACTTACTTCCTGGCCAATGCAGAAGTAATAATACCATATCATACAATATTTAAAATACATACATTTTTTTCGTCGAGTTTTGTGAAATAAAGTTATTTCTATACGTCGGTAACAGGGTTTTTGTGGCATGTTGTATAAAACTGAGATATCTAATATCTATACAAATATAAAGTACAAAATAAACATTTCATTACCTTGACATACACTCCACAACTTGCTCTCTTGCCTATGCGCTTAATCATTATCAGGAATAAGATAGCGTAAGCACTACACATTCAGTATAGTTGCTCTTTAGCAAATACAGTTCGACACGCACTGGTGTAACGTGAAGGACATAATCACATGATAACACCAAGGTATACAATTTACCAGCAACACCACCCATCTCAACGCAACACAGGACAGTCTCTTAGGAACACGATATTCCTTGCCTACACCAGAAGAACCACCACAACGCCTAACATGCAAACCATATTCATACATGTAAGCCCGCCCAATATACAGACCGTATTCATACATGTAAACCCGCTGAACGCGCTGACCGTATTCATACGTGTGAGTCCGTTCAACATGCAGAACGTATTCGTACATGTAAACCAGCCAAACGCGCAGATGGTATTTATACGTGTGAGTTCGCCCAACATGCAGACCACATTCATACATGTGAGCTCGCCCAACACGCAGACCGTATTCATACGTGTGAGTCCGCTCAACATGCCACAAAGTGGTAGAGCTTCCAACAGTGGTAGAGCCACGCGGCAGCTTTTGCTGTCGCACGGATGGGCCGGCTCGAATCGGGGTGGTACCACGACCTCACAGAATACCAGCGTGAAGTAGAGGTTTACTTCTGCGTTTCGCTTGGTGAGTGCAGGTGGCCGGAGGCCCTTTTTACTGGAAATGAGGCATTCCATCTTAGTCCTCACGGGTGACAACGCATCTGCATTTTGATTCGGAAACGAGGATAGATGTAGATGTCTATGGGCCGCAGCAACCACTTACCATCAGATGGACTGTGTGATCGTTTATCACCCTTATCCTATAAATAAAAATAATGCAGAACGTATTCATACATGTAAACCAGCCAAACGCGCAGATTGTATTTATACGTGTGAGTTCGCCCAACATGCAGACCACATTCATACATGTGAGTCCGCCCAACACGCAGACCGTATTCATACGTGTGAGTCCGCTCAACATGCAGAACTTATTCATACATGTAAACCAGCCAAATGTGCATACTGTATTCATACGTGTGAGTCCGTTCAACATGCAGAACGTATTCATACATGTAAACCAGCCAAACGCGCAAATTGTATTTATACGTGTGAGTTCGCCCAACATGCAGACCACATTCATACATGTGAGCCCGCCCAACACGCAGACCGTATTCATACGTGTGAGTAAGCTCGACATGCAGAACGTATTCATACATGTAAACCAGCCAAACGCGCAGATTGTATTTATACGTGTGAGCCCGCCCGACATGCATACCGTATTTATACGTGTGAGTCCACTCCACATGCAGATCGTATTCATAAATGTGAGCCCGCCCAACATGGAGACCGTATTCATACACGGGAGCCCGCCAAGATGTAGCGACAAACTCGAAACGACGAACGCCTGAGTGACTAGTTCCACAGCGACTAGCACTTACACCCAGCCCAATAGTCGATGGACTAAACACCAAGGTATAGCGACAAACCCCAAGCGGTAAACGCCTAAGTAACTAATACCACAGCGACTAGCACCTACATCGTGCCAGCAAGCTGCTGCGCCGCACTTTCGTCAAGGAGCCACTGCACCGCACCCGCGCTAATGAGCTGCACTTAAACCAGTGAGCTGCTGCACCGCACCAGTGCCGGAAAGCCGCCGCTCTGCACCATCGGCAGTGAGCTGTCCTGACAGCACTGTAGGCATAGGCACCAAGTTTGCATACCTTCCAGTGGCTCCCAGTGAATGAACATGTGTTGCAGTAAGATATGCCGCGAAGTTCCAAGCAGTAGCGATGGAGTGGCAGCACGCACGAGGCCTTATAGGGTCCCCGAATACGGACTGAGTCCAGCTTTTCCGTAGATTGCGATGATTTGTTCACGAACACAAAATTACAGACGATGAAAGTTCGTGCCTGCCGACGACCCTCGTTGACATAAGCGTCTTGCCGATGCTGTTTAGCGTCTAGTAGAGCTGACGCTTGCTGTCTCCAGGGATCGCCCACACCTCTCGACATCAAACCATAATGTTGTAGACTATATAATATTCGGAGTAAACTGTAACACTTATCAATATTTTCTAATACAGTATTTAGAATATTATATAGTCTCCTTACTGATGAAATACGAGTAGTAGAATAAAGTTTGTTAGTCGAAATATTACGCGGCTTACAACACATAACTTTTTTAAATGTGGTCTTTCCAAATCAAGAAATCTTGTTTTATTTGGTCAACTATATACGGTTAAACAGTACGTTAAAACTGACAGCGCAAAAGAAATGTATGTTTGGTGCAAGAGAATCTTAGAAGCCACATATCGTAATGTCTTGAATTTTCATATGAGTTTTCTTGTTCCATTCACAATCAATTCAATATAACTATGCCATGACAAACGCTGATTAACCATGACAGCCAGATATTTTGTATAGGACATTCTATTTAATTCAGCTCACAATTTCATCATTATTACAGCCCTTCACAAGTCCACTGCTGAACATAGGCCTCCCCCAAGGAATGCAACAAAGCACGGTCCTGAGCCACCTGCATCCATGGACTTCCTGTATGTCTTACCAGGTCGTCACTCCATCTAGCGGGGGGACGCCCGACACTTCGTCCGCCGGACGAAGCCGCCACTCGAGAACCTTTTTCCCCATCGGTGGTCGGTTCTTCGAGCTATATGGCTGGCCCATTGCCACTCTGGTTCTACTGCGGATATCCTCATTTCTAAGTTTATCACGCAGAGAAACTCCGAGCATAGCCCTCTCCATAGCTCGCTGAGTGACCTTGAGCTTCCTCATCCAGCCAGCAGTGAAGGACCACGTCTCAGTTCCATAGGTCATTACTGGCAACACGCACTGGTT